TAAATATAAACAAATGTGAACACAAAAATGATGTATATATTTTATTATATATATATATATATATATATATATATATATATATATATATATATATATATATATATATATATATATATATATATATATATATATATATATATATATATATGAATTACATCCTAATATAGACATAGATACGAATATAGACATCAAACACATTAAAACATATTTAAAATTAAAAAAATTAGTTTACCTTTAAGAGAATCCTCAGCATTGTCATTGAAACAATATCAAAAAGAAAACAAGTTTTCATTTCATAATGAAACTAAAAAATAAATAAATCAGCTTATGTAAAGATGAAATATAGTCAAGTAAAATATAAAATTAGAAGTAAGAAATTCCATAAAACTAACCAAAGCAGAGTATCTAATTTTATCTAAATATAATTTTCAAAAAAATACATTCATATTTCACTTAAATAAGTACAAAAGCATCATGAAATGTGCAGATAATCATTTAATCATATATATTCAGAAAATAAACTATATATATATATATATATATATATATATATATATATATATATATATATATATATATATATATATATATATATATATATATATATATATATATATTTATATATATATATATATATATATATATATATATATATATATATATATATATATATATATATATATATATATATATATATATATGTATGTATATATGTATATATATATGTATGTATATATGTATGTATGCATGCATGTATGTATGTAAGTATGAATGTATATACATATATATATATGTATGCATGTATGTATGTAATTAACCATACTAATAATCAGAGTTGTTAACAAGGCCAAAAGTAGCAAGGCCAAGGCCTCAAGTTTTAAGACCAAGGACAAGGCCAAGAGTTTTAAAGTCAATGCAATGTTTAAAGGGATCCCTAAGTGCTATAAAGATATGATCTCATATAAAAGAGCATAAAAAAAAAATGTTTGATGTATATTATTTTTTCTAAAATGTAATAATGAGCACACACTAACAAATTTAATTTTCAAAAAAACGCTTTTTTTCTATTAAAAAAAATGCGTCTTGTTCAAAGTTTATTGACTCTATTGCCTCAAAAAACTAACGTTTGTACGTCAAATTAAACAAAGTAGACAAATTGTCATTATTGCAAACTTATTAGTTGGTAATTAAATTTAAAAGTAAAGTTGTTTTTTTTCAACTAACACATAATTACTTACAAGAATAAGTTTTGTAGCATTTTGTGAAAATATATTTGTATATTAAATTTTTTTTTATAATATTAATTTATATATTTGTGTTATAAGGGCAATTCCACTGCTAAAAATGAATAGAAGTCAGATTTTAAGCTCTTTTTAGTCAGTTAAAAACAAATGAATATTGACTTAGACATATGAAAGTTTATTTAAAATATTGCCTTAGTAAAAAAATAAGTTTATTTCAGTAATTTTTATGGTTTCAAAAGTGACGGTTACTCTCATTTTTGCTTGATAAAAAAAATAATGATTGTAAAATGTTTTAGTTAAATTAACATTTATGTTAAATTGCTATATTTTTTTGGTTCAAATTGATAAGGTTGAATAGACATTTTATTAGAAATTAAACTAAGACAGGGCTCGAAATAACGCAAAAAAATCTAATCGCGAAAAAAAAAGATTTTTTTTTTTTGCTCTACCCCCATCCCCCCTCCGCCCTCTCTTTCTCATAGTTCATGCTGATGTGCGGTAATGGGGGAAAAAAATTATTGTCAATAAATCAAAAAACATCGTCAAAAACTTAATAAAAAATTAGATATCACGTTTTTTATAATTTATTGTTTCTTGAATAAAGGACTAATAAAAGTTTTAATATAATTAAGTTTTTCATTTAAATAGTTGATGTTTTTATTTAATTTTTCTATTTCAAGTTTTCCAATAAAAGATAAAACAAAAAAATTTGGTTTAATAAATCGAATTTATACTTCATCTTTAAAATAAGGCTTAAAAACGTTAAAGTAAAAAAATTGCTGGTTTTTATTAGCATTTTTATACTGTTTGAAAAAAAAAAACTAATAAAAAAGTATTAACTAATAATATAATAATAAATAATTATATATTATTTCTTTTTTATTAGTTTTTTTTTTTTCAAACAGTATAAAAATGCAAATAAAAGTCAGTAATTTTTTTGCTCTAATGTTTTGAAGCCTTATTTTAAACATGAAGTTTTGATAAACAAAGATAAAAACCAACTTTTCAACTTTTCGCTTTAACGACCTTGTAAAAATTTTCCACGCAGAGATTTAAAGTAATTTAAATTCAAAAATGTTTTACGTTAAAAGAAAATCTCCGCGCGAAAGAGCAAATCATCTATTCATCTATCTATTCAGAATAATAAATTCTGTGTGACGTTCTTTATGATAAAAACATTACTTTTAAGAATTGCTAAAAAAAATGCTAAGCTAGAAAAAAAGTAATTAATCAACCAAAAAAAAAACGAGTCGCAAAAAGATTTTTTTTAAGAAAAAACTAATCACAAAAGTGTGTGTAGCAATCGCGATCGCGATACGCTTAATATGAGCCCTGTAAGACTTTTTTATAAGTTCTAAACTATTTAAAACTATTACTTATAACTTTTTTTTTAACGACGTCTTTCAACCGAATGCTATTATACTGTTTTTGCAAAACTAATTAAAAAAACTTGATTAAAACTTAACTATTTAATCATGACTTTTTTTTACTTGAAAATCGAAGTAGATATGCTAAAGTTGCTGTGACGCACTAACGTGATTTTTAACGACTAACAATCGAGTTTCAATGGTGAAAAAATAAAATCAAAATGGAGTTGTTTTTTAGTGATTTCGGCAATTGTTTTTTGTTAGCATGCATTTATTTTCACAATTTAGTGAAAAAGAAAAAAAACTTACATATTTTTTTTTTATGCTCTTTCATATGAGATTATATGTTAGGAGCACTTAGGGATCCCTTTAAGAGTTTCAAAGCCAAGGCCTACGCAAACATTTTTAAGACCAAACACTTCAATTTTTGCCTTACATTAAGGCTAAAACATTAATAAAACTGTAAGTAGTAAGTGCTGTGACAATAAAACCACATTTTGTAAAAATAGGTTATGCGCAGAATTTAACGAAATCAATAAGAAAATATGTATTTTTTTTTATGGCCGAGGCCAAAACAATCAAGACCAAGGCTAACAGTATCAAGGCCAAGACCAAGGCCAAGGCCTTAATTTTTGGCCTTAAGGCAAGGCCAAGTTCAAGACCAAGGACTAACAACTCTGCTAATAATAAATAGTTATTACAATTAAAAAATATATATATATTATTAAGAATTAAGCAATAAAAATATTTTCATATAAAACAATATGAGAAAATAACTTAAAAAAATGTACATATAGTCTATATGATCTATAAGATATATATTAAACATGCTTCATTAAAAATGGGTATTTAACAACGTAAAGAAACTACTATTTATGGTATTCATTTTATAGAATAAAATAAAGGAGAACTATACAATCTAAAATTTTTTATTTCTTAAGCTTTTTTCAGCTAAAAAAGTCACAAATATGCTAGATATTGTTATTTTTAAAAAACATGCTAGCTAAAATTATTTTTTAATATGGCAAGTTTGCATGCTAAAATTTTACTTTGGCTTCCATAATTAAACTTTTTATACATAACTGTTATGCACAAAAGTCTAAACTTTTGTGCATAACTGATTTCGCATCAAATAAAAAAACAGCCAAGTATGGTACAATACCTGGCTGTTTTTTTAAATTGATGTACATTATTTGAACTCTTTTTTAATATAATTAAAGATCTTAAGAAAACATACAGCAAAGAAGTTTTTGCTTCTAAAAACCCAGACTGCCTGGGTTTTATTACGTTATTTTAAGTAGGACATGTCATCAACAGTATCATAAAGTGTTCCTTTTAAGCTTGCCCTGTGTTGTCCTTAAGACTTTCAAGTAATATGCAATTTTTATTGTTAATAATAATTTATAGTATAATAGATCATTTAGGATTATAGTATATTAGATTTTACATTTAGTATTATAATAAATTAGATCATATAGTATATTATTATTTCAAAATTTAATTTTTAAAAAGAGTTTCAAAATTATTTCTTATATGCTACAGAGTTAAATATTAAAGTCCACAGGATTAAAGATTAATTTAAAACTAATGTATATTTTCAAAGTTGATAACTATAATGCAAAAAATGATCTATTCAATGAGGCTTAAACTCTAATTATACAAAAAATGATTTAGAGGGATTTAACTATAATTATGCAAAAAATGATTCACTGAGGTTTTAACTATTATTGGTTCACTAAGGTTTTAACTAAAATTATGCAAAAAATGATTCACTGAGGTTTTAACTATAATTATGCAAAAAATGATTTACTGAGGTTTTAACTATAATTATGCAAAAAATGATTGAAAGAATGACTTTAAAATTAAATTATTTTTAAATATAAATTTAAAATTTTCAAAAATTTAAAAAAATAAAACTTTCAATTTAAAAAAGTTAATCGTTTTAAAAAAATTTAAAAATTTCAATATGGTCAAAGTTTATCAGTTGAATTTATAAATAAAACTGATTGTTTTTGAATATATCGATGAATCAGGGATTATTATTTATAATAATCCCTGGAAGCTTAAAGATATTGAGTTTGGTTATTAAAGAACAATGGAAACTTTTCTTATCAACAAGATTTTTTTTTACCTACAAAATAAGTTGTATAAATATTTGTTGTGTGTGCTGCAAACAGATGTGCAAATTGTGTGCGCTACATTGCTCACTTTTGACATATAAAGTTAATACTATCAATAGTTGATATATAGATGATGCAATCAACATTTGATATATAAAGCTGATACTATTAATAGTTCCCAACACAACTGTAGTTGTTCGGTTTAGAAAATCCTGGTTTTATAGTTTGTTGTTGTTGTTTTATTTTTTTTTATTCTGAATATTTTTTAGATGTTGCTGAACAAGTATTTAATCAATGTATCAAAGGAAATGGTTTACCAGCTGATCATCCTGAATATAAAGTAACATACTGTTTTGAATTACTTGAAGATCTGTTTTGTTCGTGGGGACCAAACTCGTTAAAGTTTAGTGAGAACAAACAGCATGAAAACAATGATCTACCTGCAAGCAAATCATCATTAGGAGAACAGTTTATTAAAAAAGTAAAAAATAATTTGGGATTTAAAAATATCAATGCAGAACCAAATCACACTTTAGAAGTTATGGTGTGTTAATTGATTAATTATTTTTTATATGTAATAATATAAAAGTTTATCTATCATAAATATCTTTAAACAAGTTGTGTTTTATAAATTTTTAATTTGTACTTACAGATAAAACATCATCGTGACAGGCTTTTATGCCATCCACTGGTCACCTATTTACTAAGAAGCAAGTGGAGATTGTGTGGGAGATATATCTATTATTTTAGATTACTACTATATTTATTGTTCTTGTTCTATGTAACCAGTTATGCATTAGTGTTACGTGTTGATGAGCATCAAAATTTGTGTAAAAGTCACAGCATTATGATCTCTAATTGTTCAAAAAATCTCGCTGGTTTTAATTCAAACTGTCCAATATTAAACAATAGTTTAAACTTTTTGATACCAACTACTGATTTACATTGTTTAAATGACGCTACTGATATAATTTCAAGTTGTTCAACACTATCTGTCGATTTAAATTCTACCTGTTTAATAAATGTAACTCAGTGCTGTTGTTGCTCTCAAAACTTTCCTCCTAGTTTAAAGTATTTCATTGATCCAGGGAGAAAGATTGCACTTGGTTTGACTGCCTTGTGTTTAGCAATTGAGGTCAGTTTGATTTTAATGGTTTATGTTCATTATTTAAGTCAAGTGGTTCATACGTAATCAGTTATTTATTCAACTTTAAGTTGTAGAGTTAATGGTAGAGTTGTTGTTAAGTATTGATATATATATATATATATATATATATATATATATATATATATATATATATATATATATATATATAATTTAATCTTCTTTTTTTTTTAAGTTAAATTTATTATTAGCATGTTTTTACCTATCTCAAATTTTAAACAATATCACTTTTTGCTTCATTAAACGGTTATTGAAAAAAAACTAAAGGGGACTCAGAGTTTTAGTATAGGGCAGGCTATCATATCTAATGTATGTACACTCCCTACATGTTCTTACTATTTAAGTCAATGCATGCGTTCATTCATTTCATTGCAAAATTATCAATTAAATATTGTTCTCATTTTAATATATCATTCATGAAGCAAAATGATTATGTTTAGTTGGTAAATTATCATTTCAAATTCTGTAAATATTTTAATTGATGTGGTAAAATATGAGGCAAAATGACAAATTCCAGAGGAAAAATTTCAAGATTGATTTTTTTAATTGCTATATGTATTCATTATATCATGCATTTTGACATAGAGGTGACAGCATTAATGAAAGAAAAAAAAAAGTTTTTTAGCACTTTTTTTATAAAAAAAGTATAAGAAATTTATATACAGATATGTATATATCGTCGCATGAGAATTATAGGGTTCTATCTGCCTTGTTTTATGTTGAAAGACTTTAACAATCAAAGTTTTAAATAATAAAAACAAACCACTTAAAAATGATATATTATATATCATTTTTTAAGTGGTTAATATAGATAGCATAAACAACTTATAATTTATAATTATAATGAATAACAGTTGTAAAACATGTATTAAATAATGTGACAATATGTAACTTATGTTAATAAATTATGTCGATATAAAATTATGCAAATGTAAAAATTCCATTTATATAGCTTGGTTAAGTTGTATGTGTTAACAGACTGTATATGTAACAATCATGTATTATAATTGTTTTGTTTTGGATTTAAAAGAGACAAGATTTAAAAAAAAAAGTTTCTTATAGTGAAAACCTACAGAAATACTAAAATGATAGCACTTAGGACAGTGCATTTAACCAAGTTATTGAAGATATATGTCATGATGAAAAAAATGATAATAATTTTATAAACCTTTTATGACGATGGTAATTAATAAACACTTTTGAAGTGGGTATTCTAAATTGCATAACTATATTGCATAGCAGATATACTTAAAATATATATATATATATATATATATATATTAGGGTGTCCCAAAATGACATGAATTTTTTTAGTTTTTAACTATTTCTAGATTTTCAAACAGTTTCATATGTATTTTTATTTACTAAAAGCAAAAAAAAAAAAAAATCAAAAAATTTTCATATTTGACCCCCCCGCCGCTCTTTTTTTTGTGTTTTTTTTCTAAAAAAATGACACAAAGGACTAAAATTATTTTTGATAATTAACTATGTTCGTATTTTATATAATTTTCTTGTGTAATTTTGTTTGATAAAACATAATCAATAGTTATTTTCAAAAAAAAATTCATATTTGACCCCTCCCCCCTCATAACCCCTTTAATGTGTTTTTGCCCTAAAACAATCCTTAATATACTCCTTTTATATATCTATTATTTATATCCAATATAATTAACTGTTATTATAATTTCAAATAGTTTTGTAATAAATAAAAATGAAAATTTATTAAAAATAAATTTTCACCTGGTTTATGACCCTCCCCCCCCCCATCCTTTCTAATATTACCTTTGTCGTATGATTTTTTTCTGCCTAAATAAGGAATTTTATAAATTATAGTTTTTAATTAAAACAAAAAATTTGATAAATACTCAATTATTAAACAAAGAAGGATAGAAATGATTGGTATAAGTTAACAATATTAAAGCACAATGGGAATAAGTACTAAGAAGTTCAAAATCTCATTTTTTTTAAATTATAACAACAAAATAACAATATTTTAAAGGTATAATAAAAAAGAGATTTTTTAAAGCATATTTTCAAAAATTAAGTTTTTGAATTGCTTGTTTATTTATGTGAGGAAGAACTTTTCGGTGGTGTTCTACTGCACGTAAAAGAAATTCTTTCTGCTCATCATCTTTTGTAATAGATGTTGCATAGTCTTGAATTAGTTTTACAGCTCGTTCTGCTGTATCGTTTACAGATTTCAGTGATTTGATATGCTCAAACATGTGATTAAAATTTGTGTTAGTTTTCCAAAACTTTGGGGATTCTACCAACCAACCGCCATCCTCATTTGAATATCCGAATAAATTTAGAATGTTACTTGATTTTGGTCCAATTAAATCAGTCAAACAAGTACTCTGCTTCAGAAGAGGAAATTGTGGAAAGCCTATATCATGTTCACAGTTTTCTTTTATATTTTTCAGAATTATTTTAGCCATTTTAGTTTTATCTCGATCAGATACCTTATCAGAAAATAATGAAAGAGGGGACATTTCTTCAGTTAAATACCAAAGATGCCGATTAAATGTTTCCAGGGCAGCAACAGCAACATCATTGTCAATTTTTTTATAAATAAGCATTTCTTTGTAGAATTCCAGGTCATTAAATGGAGCATCGACTGTGCTTGTGCACGTAAGCCATATTTTCACATAAAATAGTAAAGTAAATTTACAAAACCTTGACAATTTCTCTATAAAACTTTCTTCATACTCTGCCAGGTCAGCAAAAGCAAACATCTTTGATGTGTACAAGATTGTACACATCCATCTAGCATGATGGAAGGCTCCAGGTTTGTGCCACTGTATATTTATTTGTTTTGGATTGAGTAATTGCAAAGCAAGTTGACAACATTCTCGATAATCATCTCTTAATATTTTTCGAGATTTCCAGTTAAGTAAACCAGACAAAAAAATTATTACTTCTGCTTTTTTGGTCTTTAATACTGGTTCTTCGATCTTTATTTTTCTAAAAGTAGTATCTGAAGTTAATGAAAGCTTAGGCCATACCTCATTTTTAAAGTGTCTAAATGGCTCATAATTTGGAGATCTGCATTCTCCAAAAACTTTGAAGTAAACAGATGACAAAACTCTTTCAAAAATATGGTGTCGGCAGGCGCACCAAAGTAACTTTTTGTTAAAGTGTTCTTCAATTAACTTTGCAGAACCATTTATCCAACCTGAATTTGATGGAGTTGTGTCAAAAATCATTGCCACAAGTGTTTTTTCCAGTTTCCATGTCTTTACAGCATCTATGGTAGCTGTTGCCTGACTTCGCCCAGTTGTATCAGGAATCCTGGATACACACAACAATTTCCCTTCAGGTGCACTTGGTTTTCCTGTTACAACAATAGCCAAACGTTCCACTTTACCATCGACCTCAGATACCAGCTTTGAATCCCAGTGAATGGAAGAGTACATGGGTGAAATGAATGTTTTCTTAAGATCATTTGAAACTTGCTGTCGAATTTTATTACCTGATCTGTACGCTGTGCTTTTTGAGATAGATATTTCATCTAAATTGTGACCTAATGCTTCAGCTACAGCTAAAATGATTCCAGATCTTTCTCTGTTGGATAGATTCAACCTATCAGCCATTAAGGAAACTTTAGGGTTTTCTAATATCTTGATTTTTTTTTTCTGTCTAGCAATAGTACTTTCTTCATTTTTATTATGAGTTTTGCCTTCATTATCAAATGCTGCCAATACATTGAAGCTTTTTTCTTTTATGTTTTCTTTTCTAGATTTCTCTTTTTCAATAGCCTTGATTTTATTTTTCTCTTTTTCCTCCATTCTTTTCACTTTCATAGCATAACTCTTGTCTAATGGGCCCAAAAATTGCTTTTTTAAGTGACGTTGATCTGAGAGAAAGTCTATATCTGAGATCTGACTATTGATACTACGCAAGGTATCTTTTCTTATCAAATTTTCGGCATTTGATACTGCAATATCAAACAATAATGATAGTTTATTAGTAAAACTCAGAAGTTGAGCTGCATAACATTTTTTTTTTGCATTTTTAATCAAGTTCTCTCTAAGATGAATCAGATGTAGTATCATTCTGACAATATCTTTCTTCTGTTTTATTGGAATTCCTGCCATTTTCCAAAAAACATAAACTTTTTCCCAAACTACAGATGCAACTTCTTTTTTACCAGTTAATTTCAATTCAAATCTTGTAAGATAAAGATAATGGCGTACAACATCTCCATTTGTTGGTAGCTGACTATACATCTTTGCTTCAAGGGTAGGTAATAATTTACCAACAATATTATCAAACTTCTCATCATTTTTCCTCAATTTACAATTGCTCATAACTGATCAAATATTTTTTATATATGCTATTATATCTATAGATAAAAAAAGTAGCTATAAATTATAAAATTATTTGAATAATGTATGTAACATTAATATTCATCATAAAAAATTTTCTCATCTCAAGCATTGAATAATAATATTTAATAATTTTTGAGAATCGTTGAATTGAAACAAATTATATTTACTAATATTAGCTATGATACATAGTTTAGAATTATAATAGTGATCAATATTGATACAAAACATATTTAATACATTTATATATTTAGCCTAAAATCAGTTTAAAAGTGAATAATTTTGAAAAAGTGGGCGGCAGAGGGGGTAAAAACTTTAAAAGAAGGGCGGGGGGGTCAAACTTCAAAATTTTTCAAAAATCTTCTTATTTTCACTTTTAACGGACAAAACTACACACAAAACTAAAGGAAAAAAAAAATTTTTTTTTTTTGGGACACCCTAATATATATATATATATATATATATATATATATATATATATATATATATATATATATATATATATATATATATATATATATATATATATATATATATATATATATATATATGAGAAAACCACAACATATTTTCAAAAAAAAAACCGAGTAAAAAAGTTTTTTTTCATTATTTTTTGTAGCTTTAGTTTTTTACTATTCCATAATAATATCTCTATAATATTTCTAGAAAATAAAGAATCATTTCAAATTCAGATCATTTAATGAAAATGTTTTTTTTATTAAAAATTGTGGGAGTGCTGGAATTAGTTCTGATATTAATTGCCAGCAGAAATTATTGAAATAAAAACTTTATTTACCAATGCAGTAAGGTAGTATAGCTTCATAAGTGTAAGTACCATTTGCTGACAATCTCTTAGATTTGGATCCTGAAGGAATAATAATCCTGAATGAATACTATAATGGGCACTGCTCTAAAGAGCTAGTGTGCCATCTACTAAAATTCATTCTCGTGTTACTCGTTTTCAAGTCCAGTTGCAAATGTTCCACTAAAGTAACTTGTTTTTAAGTCCAGTTGCAAATGTTTCACTAAAGTTTTCAAGTTGCAAATGATAAATGTTAATGTAACAAGTATACGTACTGCATGTACTAATATTTTTAATTTTTTCTATTTAAATTAATTTTAATTTTTTATTTTGTTAGTTTTGCTTTCTTTGTTTTTTGCTGCAAAGTATTAAAACACATAATACAATAAAACTTGGAAATGCTCATGACCAAGTTGTCTAAATAAATTGTCTAAATGGATAGAAAACGGCACACGTATTCTGAGAAGGCTTGTAACATGTTAATCAAAGGTGTTGGTTGTAACTGTCAATATTTGTAGTATTACTTGATGCTCCATTGTAACAAGAGTTAGACAAAAAGAGCTGTGATATTTCTTATCCAATTTTAATGCACTTTCAAAATTAAAAACAAAATAGAGAATTTTTATTCATAATGTAGTAAAAGATTTGATATGAAATATGATTAATCCTGTACCAAGTACATAAACTAAAGGACTGTAAACTATGCAACGCTAAATTTAATTATTAAACAAAACAAAAAAGGGTCATAAGTTTTCCCTTGTAGAGTCTTAAATTAAACCAAAAATTAAATTAGCCCTTTATGTTCAATAAAATTTGTCATGCAAAAGAGCAAATGATCTCCTATTGCTATTTTTTGTAATAAGTTTAGCTTTGTGTAATTTATGGGTGTTTCCTTATTTGAAGAAGAAATGATCATTCAGGAGGATTGTAAAAAGATCCAAAGAACCATTGCATGATATTCAAAATATTTTAAAAATAAACTCTTAAGAAAAACTTTAGAGAAAAAGGGAATTCTTAAGGTTTTGTGCTGCAGATAAGAAGAAATGTTTATATTTCCAAATAAATGGATTTTGCAATGTAGCTTTTCAGAAGCGAAAGACATGTCACCTAATTTTAATTTCAATAATATCAAAAAAGTATTTTTAATTGTGGTTTTTTCCTTTTTACTTTTTTAAAAAATATTTTTTGGTATTCAATTTTTTTTTAAAGTAGCTTTTTTTTTTTTTTTTTTTTTTTTTAAAAAAAAAAAAAACTACATTTAAAAAAAAACAACCATTAATACACGCTTTTTACAGTGCCTTCCTAAGTTAGCTAAAAGGTTTAATAATTTAACAAGGTTTTTTGTATTACATCATTTGTGCTTTAATTTGTTTTTAGGTAGAATTCCTGCTGTTATAATTGATTTAAGAGTTCCTCAATGTTAGTTATTTTCTAAAAGCTAAAATGAAATATCATTAATCTTCATACCATATATTATAGCTATTTAAATTTCTCCCATTACCCATTTCATGAGTCCACTTTTGCTTGTATAATTTATGTTATCGCTATTTTTTTATTATTAAATTAGATGTTTACTTCAGATTAGTAACTATTTGTAAATATCTTTGATGTAACAAATTTTCAGTTTATTTTTGATTTGATTGATTATCAAATCAAATATAAAGTGTTAAAAACTAATAGTTAAAACACTTTACTCAACTTTATAATTATAACACATAATCTGAAAATATAATATATAAAGTCAAAAAAATATATAAAAATAAAATATATAAAGTTATTAAGAAGAAAATCTTTATTATATGTTTCAAGCAACAAAACGTTTTTTGTATTTAAGATTTTTTTTTAAATTTTAGCTGTTAAAACTTCTGTACGAGGTTAACCATTACTTTCGCATTGAAAAGACTATTGAATTGGCTGCCTATATATGCTCAATAGTTTATACTCACAAGCCATACACTTGGGAATCAAATGATTTATCATCAATAAGATGCTCAGGGATTTATGATAGTCTAGGAGGTCCTACAATTACTTTATCGTGGCTGGTTTTAGTGATGTTTTTAAGGCAGTTTCCTAAACTTGGAATATATGTGGTGATGTTTACTACAGTTTTTAAAAGCTTTCTACTGTTTTCAGTGCTTGGTTTTTTGCTTGCTGTTTGTTTTGGGCTTGCTCTTCATTTACTTTTGTATCAAGAGGTTTTTAAAGTTTCTTTATAAAAATATGTTTTGTTTTAATTTAATCCTTTAATTTATGAAATTTTTTTTTTTTAGAGCCCAAATTCATTTCATACACCATCACGATCAATTCTGAAAGCTGTAATGGGAATGTTGGGAGAGTATAATTATGACAATTATTTTAATTCTATTAACCATCCAGTAAAACCTTTGAATGTTACTTGGCTGATTTATTATGTGTATGTATTTGTTGCTTGTCTGGCAATGACAAAATTTTTGGTAAATATTTTGATTTATCAGTTAATTCTTAGCTTATACTAGGCCTGTAGTGAAAGTGTATCGAAGGTGTAATGGTGGTTGAAAATCAATTCATATTATAGCACAATGCGTATATATAGATGTTATGGAACTTTGAAAGGTCTAAAGTTTGGATTTTCTCCACATTTTATAAATTTAGGATTTTAGTACATTCTATCAAACTTTCAATTTTTTTTTATTTTTAAAAACATTAAAGTTGTTTATAACTTGTGACTTGAAAATCTTAGTTTGAACATCTGGTTCTGATAAACCTCCATTACATTTCCGATATACATTTGTCATATTCTTAGCTTGTTTATTCGATTCAGCTTTTTGTTTAATGATAGAAGTTGTCTTAAGAAGATATTTAGTTATTATTAATAAATATATAACTATTATTTAATACTGATAAATATTTAATTGTTATTATATATTTATGTAAATATTTGCGCAAATAGTAATAAATTTGCTTGTAAAATTTAATAATTATTAAAGTATTACATTTAACAATCTATGTAAATATATTATTAAATTTAATACTTTAATGACTAATATTAGACTTTTTGGTGTGTTTTAGATCGCATTGGCTGTTGATGACATTGTTGGTGTTCAAAAACAGGCTTTTCTTAATAAATTAATAATGCTGGTAAATATTTGTTTTCTTATTAAATTATTAATGCTGGTAAATATTTGTTTTGTTATTTTTCTGTTAATATCCGTGTACTTAGCAAAATACACTTCTACTCGGATGGTTCTATTATTAACTAGGTGAAATTAGGTGGTTTTTTTATTATTGAGGTGTTTTTTGACAATTATGCCCCGCATCCTTTTTTTTTTCTAAAAAATCTACCAGCAATCTGAACTGCACAAGATACTTTAAAAATGATGTGTGCTAAGGCATGCAAATGTGATTTTTCTAATTTTTTTTTACTGTTTTTGTTTTCTTAATTTTAGTGTGATTTTGTTTTCTTAAATTTAGTGTGATTTTTAGCAACAAAATTTGATATAACTCAAGGAACAAAACATATTTTTTATGAAGAAAAAACTAAATATTTACTAAATAACCAATCTTTTTAAGACTTTCAACTGTCAGTATTTTAAGAAGTTTGTTATTTATGTTATGAGCAATTTTTTAATTATGTTTTTAAACATTTTTGTGCAGTTTTTGTGCAAGATTTTGTTCTTTTTCAATACAGCAAGAAAAGAAAAAATTGTTTTTGTTTGCACAATATTTTTTTTTATTTTTTTAACAATAAAAAGTCATTTCTACTTAAAATCTCAAATATTTTGCTATATTCACTAACATCATTCATATATATATTCACTACCATCATTCATATATATATATATATATATATATATATATATATATATATATATATATATATATATATATATATATATATATATATATATATATATTCACTACCATCATTGGAAGAACAATCACTATGATTGAGCAACAGTTTGGTGCAACCTTGTTGCAAAGTTTGAGCTTGGTGCAACTTTGCATTAAGATTTCATTAAAAGAAATAATCTTAAAGTTAAGGTGTTTTTCCCCAACCACACAGTTACATATTTGCTCATTTTTTTTCTAAAATTAGGCATGCGTCAGATTTTTGTCTTTGCAAAATAATTAGCTTAATAACTGATTTGGCATAGATCATGAAAAAAGTATTTATTGTATTAAGAATATAAAATGTGCGCAATATTTTCTAGAAGCCAAAATTCTTTACAAAATCTGAAGTCCTTTTTTAAGTATTTATGGCTTGACTAAACAGCTAAAACAATGATTATGTTGACTCAACCAATGTTGACTTACTGGTCTGTACTGCGTTTTTCACTTTCATTTTTAGGCAATCTGAAATGGAAATAAAAGATTTAGTGAGATATAATCATATTTTATTTATCTAAATGAAAAATTTTTGTAACACCCCACCACTATTTTTTCTCAACTGTGTTCCAAGCTTTTCCAGGAATGGTGTACAAACACTTGTGTGCCTTTGCACATGTTTTTAAGTTTTAATATACTTTATGGTGTAGAGTAAATGGCAAGCCACCAAAACAAATGCATGGTAATCTTAGATTGTTTTCAACAAATTTATCTAGTGTTATTTGATTGCAACACATAAATTAAAAAATTGACAAATAATTTTAAGCAAAATTGACGAATAAGTTTTTGCGTAAAATAGTAATCCCAAAACAATCGCAAGAAGAAGAAAAATTTCTGCACCAATCAAAAATTAACAATCAACCTCGTTATCAAACTAATTCTTTATCAGAGAAATGTACATATGACCCTAGGTACAAGCAAACTATATGGCCCTTGGAACAAGACTTGATAGCCTCTAAAAAATGTCACCTATTAACAAACCCGGATTGAGAAGGAACTTATTGAGCGTTACATTTAGTACTTAAGTAACAAATATAATATACAAGAACTTATAAAAAAACATTTCCTCTAGAATTGTAAAACAATCTAAGATATCAGGGGCAAAAAATTACTTTATCAAAAAGCATTTTCCGATAATAACTTGCTGTAGCAACACTCTGAGAATCAAAATAGAACTAAATAATAAAAAAACTTTTATAACTAATCACCTGACTGAGTACTTTATAAATTTTATGTAAAGCGGGGTGACCCGAGCCAAGGTACAAGGTGCATGAACTTTCCCTACTTTTTCTTACCTGCCCTTTAATGCCATAAATGCACTTTAATTCAGTTGCAATACTGACATTAATGTTTTGTTTTTGTTTTTTGTTTTTTTCTATAGATTTTATAATAATTTCATAAAAATATCTTTACAATAAAGAGACATCTAATAGTCTTAAAATATTATGAATAATCATTTTTAATAAATATATTTTTACAGTACAAGAAAAAATCTATTTATAAAACAAAAAAATTTATGATGCAAAAGTATAAATAAATTAATATAACATAAGAAAAAAAATAGATTTATTATTTAACAATGATGATACAAAACAATAGTTAATAAAGCAAGGGTGTTTAAGATTGGTTGTGCACAAAGTATTTAGTTACTATTGGCCATAAGTTTGATCAAAATATTTTTATACAAACTTTTTGTACGCACATTTGTATAAATATAAATTTTTATTAAAAAATTATAAAGCTTGCTATAAACCTAACAAATCTCTAACAAAAAATGATTGCTGTAACAAAAAATTATCAACAAAAATAATATAAGTTTATATTATTAATTATTATTTAACTATAAATTATAATTTTTTTTAAAGACATAATTGACATAATAGTAAAGCTATGTTAAAATAATAGTAAAGCTATGTTAGTATATAGGCCTTAACAATAAAAGAATATAAGCCTTTACTAAGGCTAAGATTAAGGCATAGTCTAAGTTTTATCCATTTCAACTGTTTTCGAAGCAGACCGCTTTCTCTCATCTTTAATCATAATTATAGTATTAATGCTTTAATCAAAGTTTGTAATTAAAGGACACTGAGCAAAGTTATTCTATGTATTTTTTCAGATTTAAAAATTGAAAATGAGAAATTGTAAAAGTTATCTATAAATAGTAAATAATTTTATTGTTACGCAAGTCCTTCCATGATCCTATTTTGCCTTGCCCCCCACTCCCCTATTCCTATTTTTTTTAAAGTTCAATAAATTTAAAAGTTTACATTCTGTGGTGTTCTTGCTTTGTTACAATGTCAATGTTGTATTTTTTTTACTTTCAAGAAAATTTGTATTGATTTGGGTAGTTTTTGTTACTCTACAAGGGCTTTTTCCTTAAGTACCTCAAGTTATGCCTGCTTCTCTTACTGTAACAAAAAATGATTACTGTAACACATAATGATTACGTTGGCAAATAATAAATACTGAACAAATCATAATTACTGTAATAAATATTGTTACTGTATCAAACAATGATTACTGTAATAAATGATAATAACTGTGACAAATAATGATTACTCTAAGAAATAATGATTACTGTAACAATTAATGATTACTTTAACAAAAAAGGTTACTGTCTTGGTTTAATTGACAGACATGATATTTATTGCAAATGATACATTATGAGATATGATATTCATTAGATATTTTTGTATAGTTTCATTGTTTTTTGTTTATTATTATTTTTAGATATAGTTTCATTGTTTTTTGTTTATTATCATTTTTAGATAAAGTTTAGAGCTCTAAGGTTAATCATCATTTTAACCAGATTAGTTTTAACATATTGGCAATATGGGTAAAGCACCCTAATCCCCAATATGGGTAAAGCACCCTAATCCCCAATATGGGTAAAGCACCCTAATCCCCAATATGGGTAAAGCACCCTAATCCCCAATATGGGTAAAGCACCCTAATAATTAATTATATTATGATTAATAGTCTCCATTAAATTGTAATACTTAAAGATGGTGTCGATAGTTTGCAATTTTCGAGAAAAATCTTTTAAAGTACTGTAGAATAATAAGTGATTTATTGTTTTTGTTATATGCTTTTTTTGTTGTTTTTGTTTTGACTACCTTATCTATTATCTATGTCTTTATTAAACTATATTAAGTAATAAGTTTCTTTAAAATTGAAAATAAGTTTTTTCATATGTAGTTTAAATTTGAAAAAAAACGTATTTAAATTTTTTTTTATATAGAATTAGTATATATGACAACAGTTAACATAAGAATTGTTATAAAATTTTAGTAAAATTTCAGCTATTTACTTTTTGACAAGATTATACAAATTTGTTCAACTTTAGTAAATACTTTATGTAACTACTATTTTTCAAGGGTTTAATTACTTTTATAAACAGCATGAAAAAAATTTCTTATTTTTCATCTTAAAATTTCATAAAAGGTAATATCAACAGTTTTGTTAAAAAGATCAGGATTGTGTGACCATAGTTTAAAATTACTATTTTTATGCTAAATATAATATATAAATATACAAGTGGGAACATGACTGAGATTGAACTCAGAATTTCTTCTTTACAACGTGCGGCTGCACTAATGCTATATTTTATCATTTCTATGAACTTAAAAAATTCTATGAAACTATATTTTTTTAATTAAAAACTGTATTTATATAAATAAATAAGATCTTGTAATTTTTTTTTCTTTACTACTTAAAGGTAGATCTTACATTAAATGTTGAAAAAGCTTTACCAGTATCAATACGAAGAAAGTTAGTTAAAACTGAAGAATCAATTTATCCCAACATGCAAAAAACCTGGAGTTTCTGGTCATTTTGGTCTGTTGAAGAAAATATTAGTTCAGATAAAAAGGTTGAAAACATTTTTAGATTTTTTTATTAAATAGTTTTAAATCAAATAAATATATTTTTTTGAGGTTTGGTGTTTTAGCTTGTTTTCTGTTAAATAGATTTTCTCTTAAATAAGTTCTTTTTTAATAATAATAATATGTGCTGGATAGACTAGTTTATGTTTGTGTTTTAGTTTAAAGATATGTCTTAATAATTTAGTATTGAAACATACTTCTTACATTTATTAGAAGTATGTTTTTAATGTACTTTTAATATATTTAATATATGCTGATCAAATTCATATATAATTTGCACACATAAGTATGTGCGCAATATCATATCTTACATATATGACATATATATATTATATATGCAATATATCAGTGTTTTATCTGATGAATGAGTTAGTGCATTGAATAGAACCAGTTATGTTTGTGTTTCCTATAAACATTTATATTAAAACCAATATATCTACTTGTTACTGCTGATGATATTATTTAGAACTGTCTCCAGTTGTTATTGTATATTACCAGTATATAGTAAATAGAACATAGTAGAAATGTATGCAAATGTACCAGAAATAATTCGGTGGGTGCCCATGACATGCATACAAAAAATGCTTTGACAGTATTTCTGTAAAGTTTTCTTTTGGAATGCTCCAACCAATTTACTTTAGCTTTTTTATTAGTTATTAGTTTTTATTCATTATTTTTATTAATACTTTTTTAGTATTTAGGTTTAAAATTAAAACTATTTTAATATTAAAAAACACACACAAAAAATCAGATTGACTAAAAAATTTTTTAAACTTACTATAATTTTTATGGTATCATCTGGAGAATCTTCTGAAGGTCTCCAGGAAAAAAACTTCTAAAGGATTTTTTAAAGGTATCCAGACAAAATTTTCTGGTTTGATGCTTTCAAATCTAAAGTGTTTTCCAAAGGTGTCTGAATATTTTATGAAGAATCTTCTAAAATTGTTAAGACAAAATCTACTTTCAATATGGACTTTGTAAATCTAAAATTGTATTTGGTTTTAGTTAGAGAAACTGTTCCATGGTCTTGTATAATATTTATATTGATCTATATGAAACCCAGAAATCAAAACTTAAATATTAAATTTTTATATTTATGCTTAAAATATATAAAAAATTTTAGTTCTTTTTTAACAAGAATATGTATAAGTAATTAGTAGTTAAAAAAGAAGAATAAAAATGTAGTTGTTGTTTATTATTATTCACCAAATTTATTTGGAGAGCAAGAGATATTCAGTAATCGTTCAACGATTAAAATGATAACGAACGAATGTTTGTAACCGCTTGATGAATATTTGTTAAAATATTTGTATATCAAATATTTTGTTGTTACATTTTTAGAATGCGTAAATATTTTGTAATGATAAGCAAAAAATATTTTATGGGAATGTGTCGCAAGGTCATGAAACATGTTCTTATGCACTTTGAACAACAATCTGCAGTTTAGAAAAAATATATACAATTCAAAGACCAATATAGTTTTAACAATTTACAATCAAATAATAAAGTAAAAACTCAATTTAAATATATAATTATATTCAGTAGTGCTTGTTTTAAGACCTAGATTAATCTCCTTTAGTATAAAAATCTATAAAACGCAAAAAACCATTGTCATCACCAAGTTCTCTAAACCTATCATTCACTAATGTTGTTGGTCTTCGAAGTAACTTTTCTTCTACTGAGTCTTATCTTTTGCAAAGTTTACCAGACCTACTTGCTATTTGTGAGACTAATTTGAGTTCAGCTGTCTTATCTTGTTATCTTAGTGTTGATGGTTATCTTCCTTTAATTCATCAAGATTCCAATAGTCACATGCTTGGCCTGGGCATTTACATTCGTAAGAAAAAAAGAAAACCCATTTGTCTGGAAACTAGGTTTGAATCCACAGAATACTCTTTTATGTGCTTTCATTTAGCACCACTTCATTCTATCACCTTTCTCTTTGTTCTATATCGCTCTCCTTTATCTCAAGACTACACTCTTCTTGATGTTATTTCTGATCATATTGACCAAGTCCTCTCTTTTTATCCATCAGCCAATATTGTTGTTGTTGGTGATTTTAATGCTCATTACACTGAATAGCTTGACTCTAGTGTTAGTGGCTCTGCAGGCATTAAAGCCCACAACTTTTGCCTTTTTTAATCACTAACTCAAATAGTTAACTTTCCAACTCGCTTTTAAGACAACCCGAATCGTTTACCTTCTCTACTTGACTTATGTTTTGTTTCTGATCCTAGTCAGTGCTCAGTTTCTCCACATTCACCCTTAGATGCCTCTGATCACAGTTTGATCTCTCTAAAACTATTATCTCATCATCAGAATCCCCCTATCATTATACATCTTACAACTACCTTAAAGCTGACTGGGACTCTTTCCGTAATTTTCTTCGTGATAGCCCTTAGGTAGAAATCTTTCGTCTTCCTGTTGACAAATGTGCTTCTTACATAACTTTGTGGATTCAGGCTGGCAGGAATCCTATATTCCCTCTCAACAATTTCAGGTCAGGCCTCACTCTTCTCCATGGTTTTCCTCACATTGTGCTGCTGCAATTGCCAATCAAAACCGTTACTTCCATATCTATTAGCAAAACAATTCTCCAGAAAACAGACATCTGTTTATTACTACTAGAAACCATTGTAAAAAGGTTTAGTCTAATGCCAAAACCCGCTAGTCTCAGGTCATAAAATCTCGTATTTCATCACAAAAATTAGGCTCTCGTGACTTCTGGAGAATCTTTAATAGTATCAATAATTAGGGCAAATCTGAAGTTCCACCTCTTTTGTATGGTTTAGACTTTGTTACCTCACCTAAAGAAAAAGCTGAATTTCTTGCTAATAATTTTTTATCAATATCGCGCATTAGATAAAGATGAAGAGGTTAAGGCAATTGCTCTTGACATTTCTAAAGCGTTTGATAAAGTTTCGTATGCTGGTCTTCTCCATAAGCTTTCTTCTTACGGTGTATCTGGAAATATCTTTAAGGTTATTGAATCCTTCCTTTCCAATCGTAGTATAAAAGTTGTCCTTGATGGACAGTACTCTTCTTCTTATTCTGTAACCTCAGGGGTTCCTCGGTAATGTACTTGATGTGTCATTTACCCTTCATTCTCTTGGATTACCTCTTACTTAGAAAACCACTCATGGTTTCCAAGAAAGATTACATCTTTCTTGGAAACCATGAGTGGTTTTCCGTTGCAAAATTAGCATGTGCTAAAGTTGCATCTCTTTATCGAGCTCGACACTTTTTTACTCCGGATTCTATTCTCTATCTCTATAAATTTCAAATCCGGCCTTGTATGGAATACTGTTACCATATCTGGGGCGGATAATAGATTTTAATGATACTCTTTCTCTTTTAGATAAGGTGCAAAAATGCATTGTAAGCATAGTTGGACCTGCTCTTGCAGCCAACCTTCAACCATTATCACCTTGTCGTAATGTTGCTTCTCTTTCTCTTTTCTACAAATACTATAATGAGCACTGCTCTAAAGAGCTAGCGTCTTTTGTGCCATCTACTAAAATTTATTCTCGTGTTACTCGTCATTCAATTAATTCTCATCTTTTTTCTGTGACTGTTCCTAAGTGCTCCAAAAACTCTCATTCCTCTAGCTTTTTTCCTCGAAGATCAGTTCTTTGGAATTCGCTTCCTTTATCTTTTTTTCCTGATTCGTATAATTTGCAATCTTTTAAGTCGTCTGTCAATCGTTATCTTGCTCTATAATATTCATCTTTTCTCTTCCAGGAACTTCCAACTCTAATTAGTGGTTGTTTGCAGCCTTGTTGGAAGCGAAGATGTTTAAAAAAATAATAATAACATTTTTTTACATTTTTTAGCTACGATTAGAATAACTTAGATTTGCAAAATGTTATAAATACTGTATGAAAGAAATTTATTTTGTTTAATCTACATTTAGGGCGATCTTAAAATCATTAATAACGAACACACAAGATTAAAAGAAAAAGTTTATAGTTTACGAACTAGAATGAAAGCAATGGAGGCGCAAAATAATCGAATTGAGACAAAACTGAATTTTGTTGTCAAACGTCTCGCCGTCAACAAATAGTTTTCGAGAAATTAATTTTTTTTAGACAGTATATATATATATATTTTGTATATATATATATATATATATATATATATATATATATATATATATATATATATATATATATATATATATATATATATATATCTGTGTGTACACGCACAAAAAAGAGAGATTATTTGAAATATTTATGTCAAGCAGCTTTATTTTGTGAACAATTTTTATAGCTTTTTTTTATTTTTGTACTTATATTTATTTTGGATTTATACTAATTTTTGTTAAGTTTGTTTATAATAATTTTGATCCGTATTTTTATAAATTGTATGCTAAATATTTTATTTTTTATTATCATTATTTAAAATTTACATATTTTTTCGTGTATCTTTTAGTTTGTATTACAGTATTTTATTTATTTATTGGATTTTTATTTATTTTTTATTTATTACATTTATCGGATTTTTTTTTGTTTCATTTTTAAAAATTTTCTTCAGTCGATTTTTGTTTTCTATGAGAATATTTCTTATATATAAATAAAGTTCCCAATTTACCTGTACTTTAATAGTTAACAATTGTAAACTTATGGCGATTCCACTAACCATTGCTTGACGTTATTGCTTCGGTAGCACTAGGATGGCATTTGAAACCCGCAAACCAGTGGTCTTTAAGTTTATTAATAACATATTTGTTTTAAATATTTTGGATTTTTCCATTTAAACGTTTTATGTTGTAAAATAAGTTATGTAGGTGTGATGTTATTTTTGTAAAAGATAAAAATCAGATGAAAAGATAAAGTTTATTTTAATGCACACAAAGTACTAAATGTAGAGTGAGTTATCAAAAGGTGCAAAGTCCGAATAATTTGGTTTTTAGAAATCGTCGAAAAAATGAACTACTTGTAGCGCACAACAACAGAAATTGTTCTATCTATTACAGGGTTATGCAAAATTATAAAGTGCTTTATGCAAAATTATAAATTGCTTTATGCAAAATTATAAAGTGTTTTATTTAACAATAAACAAATGCCATTATAATAGTACAGGTCATTTTCAGAATCATCTAAGAATGCATAGGAATTAAATTACAATATTAAATTGTAATTAAAAATTAAATGACTAACTGGCTGAAAAACATAAACCAAATCAGTAACGTTTTTATCTAATTAATGCAAGTTTTTTAAATTAATGTTAAAAATTTAAAACCTTGCATGGCAAGAAAAAGTCGAATGACGATAACTAAGGAAATTCATGAAACAATTTAAACATGTCTAATTCGATAAATAATCATTCAACCAAATACATTGCCGAAACTTTAAACATTAGCCAAAGTGCTGTAAGAAACTGCATAAAAAATCATCAAATTTGCTACTAAGGGAGAACGCCACAAGCAAACAATCAAAAACAAAAATTTGTTTTTCAATGAAATCGAAAATACTTTATTTAATACGATAGCAATAAATAATGAACTAACACAAAATGAAATGGTAAATGAAGTTAATGCAGCAACCGGTATGGTAATATCTCAATCACCAGTAACAAGGAAATTGCGGAAAATAATTATAACGCAAAAAAGGCTTTCATTGGTTCCCGAAGAACGAAATTCCCCAGAAAATATTGAAAAAAGGGCCATATATGCCCGCCGTATCTCGCGTATTTCTAGTGATAAATTGGTCTTTTTAGACGAATCAGGATTGAAAAAGCATACTCCATTGTTTCCGGAAACAGAAATACAAATCGAAGTTTGATGTGTGCAATAAATATTTCTGGTGTGGTTGCTTAAGGCGAGTTTCCACTCAACCGTTTTTTACGGGAAATGGACGGGAAAAATAATCACGTGAGCATACGTAGTTTTCCTTCAGACATAATAAAAATTATTCTACGCTTGCCCCCGTGATTATTTTTCCCGTTCCCGTGAAAAAACAGTTAAGTGGAAACTAGCCTTTATGAATTAAGAACTGGAGCTTATAATGCTGAAAGCTTTGAAAGATTTATAAGAATTAACCTGTGTAGTTATTTCCGACAAAACCCAGACCATATACTGATAATGGATAATGTTCCATTTCACAGATCAAGAAGTATTATAGAAGTTTTAAATGAATTAAGAATAAATAGAGAATATTTACCGGCATGGTCTCCTCAATTAAATCCCATTGAGGAATTTTTTAGCATGATAAAGGCAAGATATCGCGGAATAAAAGCTTTAAATAATGAAATTAATATTAGAGATGCATTGGAAATAATTTTAATCGAATGCGTGAAATTAACGAAGAATAAAGTGGATTTTGGAGATCAATGGAACGATGGTTGGAAAAAGCTAAACAAAACATGATTTTTGAATAAAGTAGTTGCTTAAATTAATATAATTTTTCTAAATGTTAAATGACATGAGCTTATATATAAATAAATCATATATTCGAACTTTTTTATGCTTTAAATGGATTTATTAAACGATTCGAAATTTTGCATAAAGCAATATATAATTTTGCATAAAGCAATTAATAATTTTGCATAAAGCACTTTATAATTTTGCATAAAACACTTTATAATTTTACATAAAGCACTTTATAATTTTGCATAAAGCATTTTATAATTTTGCATAAAACAATTTATAATTTTGCATAAAGCACTTTATAATTTTGCATAACCCTGTAATTTATTTAAAACTTCTATATTACTTCTTGATCTGTGAAATGGAACATTATCCATTATCAGTATATGGTCTGGGTTTTGTCGGAAATAATTACACAGGTTATTTCTTATAAATCTTTCAAAGCTTTCAGCATTATAAGCTCCAGTTCTTAATTCATAAGCAACCACACCAGAAATATTTATTGCACACATCAAACTTCGATTTGTATTTCTGTTTCCGGAAACAATGGAATATGCTTTTTCAATCCTGATTCGTCTAAAAAGACCAATTTATCACTAGAAATACGCTAGATACGGCGGGCATATATGGCCCTTTTTTCAATATTTGCTGGGGAATTTCGTTCTTCGGGAACCAATGAAAGCCTTTTTCGCGTTATAACTATTTTCCGCAATTTCCTTGATACTGTTGATTGAGATATTACCATACCGGTTGCTGCATTAACTTCATTTACCATTTCATTTTGTGTCAGTTCATTATTTATTGCTATCGTATTAAATAAAGTATTTACGATTTCATTGAAAAACAAATTTTTGTTTTTGATTGTTTGCTTGTGGCGTTCTCTCTTAGTAGCAAATTTGATGATTTCTAATGCAGTTTCTTACAGCACTTTGGCTAATGTTTAAAGTTTCGGCAATGTATTTGGTTGAATGATTATTTATCGAATTAGACATGTTTAAATTGTTTCATGAATTTCCTTAGTTATCGTCATTCGACTTTTTCTTGCCATGTAAGGTTTTAAATTTTTATTTTTTACCATTAATTTAAAAAACTTGCATTAATTAGATAAAAATGTTACTGATTTGGTTTATGTTTTTCAGCCATTTAATTTTTAATTACAATTTAATATTGTATTTTAATTCCTATGCATTCTTAGATGATTCTGAAAATGACCTGTACTATTATAATGGCATTTGTTTATTGTTAAATAAAACACTTTATAATTTTGCATAACCCTGTAAAAATTCTATTATTAAATCTAATTATAATATTAGATCTAATAATAGCCGAAAGTCTATTATTAGATCTAATATTTAAATAGATGATTCATTTTTTAAATTTTGATATATTTGAAACATTAAAAGATGATTCATTAAAATTTAGAAATGGAATAAAATCAAACTTTTTATTTTTGCACCTTTTGAAAATTCACTCTTTAAACTTTTTTTTATTACTATTCTTTTTTTATTATTTATATGCTTTCATAATAAAACTGTTTACATGCTTTCTTTCTTCTCGAGCTCATGGCAGCTTGAAATATCGGGTTTCATTTCTATTTCTTGAGCCAATTTAAAAAATGTCTGCAAAATAAAAATGTATAAGCTTTTATTTGAGTTTTTAAACTATTCAAATTTAAAATTTTGAAAAGCAAGAAATTGTTGTAAACCTGATGGAGCTTGAAATTGTATTTTTTATTCCAAATATATATGTGTCAAATATCAAATTATTGCATACAAAATTTACATTTTTTTTATATATAAATATAATTATTGCAATGCAACAATTTTGTAATAACTGCAATATTTTGCAATTACTATATCGCAATAATTGCAGTAATTTGCAATAATTGCAAATAAATATAACTATTGTAAAATATAAATATAATTATTGCACACGAATATTAAATTATTGCATACAAAATTTACAAAAGTTTCAATAATTATAATTTTTTTATATCTATGAGAATTTCTAAAAACATTGAACATAACGTTCTGAAAGTTATTTGAGTCTCTGATTCAGTAACCGTCTTATTATTCCTCACGTTATGGAGATCCAAGTTCGAAACGGGCATATTTTTTCGTCACGGTAAAGAAGGAGGCATGAACTTCCTTGTTAAATACACTTCCGCGGTGCTCTGTGACAAGACCGTTAGGTCTTTTTTTATTTAAATCAGAACTCTTACAACTTATTCATTAATTTATCTCTCGGACAAAAGTCATTCAAAATCTGCAAGATATAAAGTATAATTATTTTAAAGCTCAATAAAGAAATTCAAGTTTCAGTGAAGCAAATTATATTTAGAAAGAAATATTTTATAAAAGCTAGTTGTGTTGTTATTTCTTCTTTATACTTTAGTTTTAAAATAATTGAAACATGTTTTTTTTTTTCTCTTTCTGTTTAAATATAACATAAGAATTTTACAGCTTCGTACTTCATTAAAAAAAGGAAGTAAAACAGATAGGGGCTCAAACAAGATGAGGATGACAGTACGTCATCGCAATCTTTTTATAGAGCCCCTTTTTTCAATAAGATATCGTAATATGTAATACGTAATAAACTTTCTCAAACTATATACGTAATAAAATTTCCATTAAGTATCGTAATAAATATCATAATAAAATACGTAATTCGCTAATAAGATTGTTAAGCAACAAACTAAAGTAGAGTAGTAACATTAACCAAAAAGGTTTCTCAAGTTTTAAAAAT